TATTGGTGGTTTCCTTCAGGTTGGTGGTCTATAAATGTTTTTTTGTTGTAGCAATTTGGAGGAGAACTGCTGTGTGCGCCCTCTCTACATTGACTTCCGACAAGATCTGGGCTGGAAATGGGTCCATGAACCTAAGGGCTACTACGCCAACTTCTGCTCCGGCCCTTGCCCCTACCTCCGCAGTGCGGACACAACCCACAGCACGGTATGGAGCGGCGCCCACGCCATGTGGGACACATTCACACGAATGCGTGAGGACTGAATGGTGAATGAGCGAATGATGATCCGGGGCGAGTAAAATCCCTTTGCTGAAGGTTCTGATCTTGGCACCCTGGCCTGACTCTACTTTGCCACATTCTGCCCTTTAAAATTTCCTCCACGGTTTTAACCAGGCTTTTTATTTGTTCTGTCTAAAGCTTTTGTACCATTCTGGAAATTAACTCACTGTCCCAGCACACCCTATAGGTCAGAGATGTGCGCACACAGCTAGCAAGGGATGTTGGGGCAGAAAGGCTTCTGCCATTGGCGGAAGGACTCTGGGAATTCCAGCCTCTTGGATATAGAGAAGACATTCTGAAAGACCATGCAAAGCACACAGAAGCAGCCAATATGAAACAATGGGAAGAGAAGGGGAGCAAGGGGGGAAGTCAGGACCCTGAAACTCGCTTGCCTTTCTTTCCCTCAAGGGGACTCAGAAATAGGGCAGCCATTTGTGAAACATGGCTCCTGATAGCTCACCCTTAACTGCCTGCTGTCTGGGGCCGCACACTCTGGCGCTTACTAAATGGCCCAAAGCAGCGTTCAATGGGATCACTTCTCACCGAAGCGACCAGTGAGAGCTAGCAAAATCAGTAGAGGAGTGTTTCTTAACAGCAGAGAATATTTCATGATCTGTTTAAAGTTGCCCATTAGTTGTTCTCAACTTACCCTGATAATGCTCGCACGAGTACGGGTGTTTACCCAAACCGAAAGAGCAGCCCCCAGAACATGGGCGAGGGCTCTGGGCCTGAGGCTTGGCCTGCCGCCCTCTAAGTGACCTGTCCTCCCCAGGTGCTGGGACTGTACAACACGCTGAATCCTGAAGCCTCTGCCTCACCTTGCTGTGTGCCCCAGGACTTGGAGCCCCTGACCATCCTGTACTATGTTGGGAGGACCCCCAAGGTGGAACAGCTGTCTAACATGGTGGTCAAGTCCTGTAAGTGTAGCTGAGACCCTGCCTGCGACAGAGAGAGAGGACAGAGGACTGCCACCGCCTGACCGCCTGCTCCTCGGGAAACACAAAGGCAACAGACCTCACCTAGAGGCCCGGAGCCCCCAACCTTCGGCTCCAGGCAGATGGCTGAGACGGAAGTTCCCTTTTGGGACATTTCTCCTTCGTGCTGGCTCTGAGAATCACTGTGGTACAGAAAGTGTGGGTTTGGTAGGGGAAGGCCCAATTCTTCAGAATACACAGATCTTCTGTGACGTAGTCGGAGGTGGCGGGGACAGAGGAAGCGGGATAGCGAGCCGACACGGGCCGCATCACGCAGCCATGGGTCTGGGATACCCCAGGGAGGAGGCAGGGCAGGGGACGGCCGGGACAGGGCCAGGCCGGGGGACACGTCTGAGGTCAGAGGTGCTCATCGCTGCCCCGCACCTGCTCTAGGGAATCGGGATTACATTATACAAGGCAAGCATTTTCCTTCAGACAGGCTACCCAGACAAAGTCCCAGAATTGTATCTCCTGCTACCCGGATTAAGGATGAATCTGTTATTTTGGCAAATTGTCCTCTCAACATCAATCAACAGCACCAAGGGTCATTACAGGGAGAAAAATCCAGGGAAGGTAGTTCCCGGGCCGTCAACTCTATGGGGCCATCTGGATACGCTGAACTCAGAAGCAGAGGGTGGGCATGAACCCTCTCCTGTCTGCCCTCTGGGTCCCTCCTCTCGCCTTCTTCCTCAATCGTATTTCCCCTCGGACATCTGGCTAGACACCTTCCAGGTCTGGGCGCACGTATTTGGATTTGGGGTCTGTGCAGTCTTGGGGCATTATGGACCCCCCCACCCCAGACCCTGTGTCCAGCTGGTGTTCCCGGAAGCAGGTGCCAGGACGGGGTGAGGCGTGCGGGGAGGTCGCACATGCGCCACACGATGACTTGGCCCCAGACACGTAGACTGAGGTATAAAGACAAATACAAATATTACTCTCAAAATCTTTGTATGAATAAATATTTTTGGGGAATCTTGGATCATTTCATCTTCTGGAAGATTGTCTCTAGAACAGTAAAAGCCTATTCTAAGGTGTAAGTCTGACTGGATAAATATCCTTGATTACTCTTTTCTTAATCCCACGTTCATGTCTACTAACCAGAGGTCACTGGTACCTGGGGCAGAGAGTCTCGAACAGCGAATGTCTTGCTTAGTGTGAGTACCCTGGATGGTGGGACGCTGTCCTGCCTTCTGCCATTTGAGAAGACTGAACTGTTTGTGTTCCCTTCCTTCTTGTGGAGTCTTTTGTTCTCAGACACACAGAGGCAGTGGCTCAGATTTGCAGAAAGTTGTATGAATTTGCCCTACATTTCACTGTGGGCAAAAATCATTTGGGGTGAACCCTTGCGTGTGGAAATGTGTTTGTTTGTACATGCCCTCTAAGTTACGAACATCATCATTTTTGAAAATTTAATCTCACCCTCCCAATCAGTTGAGAATTAGAGAAACTGTCTGTGGTAAATGGCCGAAGAAGATGAGGCTAATTCTGTTATCGGGGTAAACTTGCCAGGAACCCCTTTGTCAGTGATTTGGGGATGGGAGAGGGCGAGGAAGTACAATCCCATAGTTCTTGTTTGCGGGCGCAGACCCCAGAGCAATGCAGAAATCTGTGATATTAACGTCCACCTGAAGCAACCATCTGCAATGCGTGAGGAACCATTTAGCAGCTCCCCAAAATACATGTTCCTCTATTGAGATCACCTTACCGTTGGTGAAAAAGTCTATCTGAAGCTAAAATTTGCAGGTTGAAGTGTGTGTGTGTGTGTGTGTGTGTGTGTGTGTGTGTGTGTGTGTGTGTAGATGCATCTTGCTCCTTCTGGAATTCTCCCGAATTGAATTCCTGAGTTTGGTCAAGACTTTCTTCCCTGCTTTGTCCATGCCCAGCCAATTCTAAGAGCTTCTCTCTCAGGCTTCATCCCCTGTGGCACCCATTTACTTCCACTGTCCTTGGGGGGCTGTATCCCTGCCCTAAAATCATGGCTGCTGGGACTGTGGCTCATCTTACCCAAGGGAGCTAGCGGGCCCGGAGAGGGGATGCAGTGTGCCCAGCCCTTTGGCCATGGGCCATTGCTGTCCTAAGCTGCAGAGTCTCTTCACTTGTGGCAGCTATTCTCAAGTTTCAGTGGGCACGAGAAACACCCAAGTGTTTATCTGAACATGATAAAAAAAATAAATAAAAAGCGATTTTAAAAAATGTACGATTTCAGGCTATAGCTCTAGAGATATCTTCAGGCCTGGGGAAGGTCCAGGCTGCCTAAAAGCTACATGTTGAGCAGCAGTGTCTTTTATCTGACATCACTGGGTCCTTCCTTGAGGCTTAGTTAGGAAAGAGGGGAATAATATTTTTGACCCCAGAATAAACCTTCCTTCTTATCCAACCTCATAGAACATCACTAAAATGTTGGCCTGTGGCTCATCCTAATGAAGCAAGGCAATGAGTTATGTTTCCTGAAGTATCCCAAAAAAAACAGAACACACTGTGATTCCAAATGTCCTTTTTATATGAGAGCTCTATTCTTATCTTTATCAGCAGATACAGATATGGGCGGGGGTCTGAAGTCCAGCCTTTCCATTCCACGTGTCACTTAGAGGCGCTACAGAAACTTGAGCCATTGTCTGTCTGTCTGAAAGGATACACACTTGTTCTGGGGGAGGGGAGGGAGGGATATTGGAAATGACACCGTTGCTGGAGGGGGGAATCATATGATCGGTCTTGTTTATTACCAAGAGAAGTCCAATACCAGTAAAAATGACATGAAAGTACTTGGTTAAATGAAGGAGAGATCTGGAGTCTGGTCTTAACAGCCGGTAAGCACGTGGGGAGCGCAGTGAGAAATGAGCCTGAGGACCTAATTCTAATGGTTACCTAGGCCAATTCCAAGCAGTCTAGTTGGTCTCAAAGTTCTTTTCCTGGGCTCATAACCTCTCGTCCTTCCTCACATGATTCTTTATGCGGCGTCTCCCATATACCTTCTTTCTTGGTTCTACCCATCACCAGGGAAATCATGAAGGAATTCTGATTTGTTTCCTAACCAATTCACAACCAAGTTAGCCAACAGTTAAGATGGTCCTCAAACTACTAACCAGAAGTCCCAGGAACATCACGAATACATTCTCTCCCCTCCCGCAAGGGACAGTCTTCATTCCTCACAAGCAAACAAAATGCTTCCGTGTGCTCAAACCTGTTCGCATTCACTAAGAAGTCAATAAAGTCCCTTTTCTCTCTGCCTTGTTGGGTGTCATTTTTCCTTTGGGGTTTCAATGCTGAGTCTAGAGTACCCTGATGTAGAAAAACCCAGACTCTGGATCCTCCCCCAGTAAATCCCCAGGGTAGATGTCAGTCCTTTAGTCGGGCTCTGCAGCCCACCTTTCAACCTTTTCTTCAGTAGAAGCCAGAGAGGGGACCAGGGAAAGGTGAGGAGAGGGGGCAGAGGTCAAGTGGACAGGCATCTGGGGGCGCTGTGCCGCCTCATTCTGATGAGGACCCCTAGAGGACCTGTCCATGGCGGGTCGATAATGGAGACATGTGCACATACGAGCTTCCCAGGTTCAGGAGCTGCCTGTGGGTAAGAGCCTGGACCCACGATCTGCTGAAACCAAACGGAAGAATAAAACATCTCTTTATAGTTCACATTTCTAAAATGTAGTTTAAAAAATTGCCCAGCAATGAAAGAAAACGAGAAGTTGGTCCCACTTCAGGCTTGTTTGTGAATACTGATTGTTAGGAAATTAGTAAATGGAAAAAAAGAAAATAAAAATAGAATTACTTTATTAATTTTAGAAATCAGTAATTCCAAAGGATGCCTTTACCACGGCTCATGTGGTCCGCAGCACACCGACTTTGTTCCACTCTCTGGGAAGCTTGTGATGTATGCTTCCCCCTTCCCCCGACCCCTCGGAAAAGGGAAGAACAACTTTGGTAGATGATGTTGGGATTTTAGGCTTGTGGGAAGTAAAGCTTAATATTGCAATCTGGAAAAGAAGAGGAAGCAAAATGCAAATAGCCAAAGAGCCTCTTTTATATCATCTCTGTGTGGTAGCAGGAAAGGGACAGAGGAAGCCTAAGCGGGTTTGCGGGGGGGGGGGGAGGGCGGGAGGTAAAAGGGATAAAAGATACATGTGTGCTCTGATGGGGTATATAACGTATCAGTTGAACGTCCCCACTACCAAGTTCAGTCAAAACCCAGCGGATGTGTTTTCCCGTCGTCTCAGTAAAAGTCTGGATTGGCCGATTGGCAACAATCTACCGCCACTGTTGCTTGAAGGCTCTGGGGACTGAGGCAGCCAAAAAAAAAAAAAAAAAAATACCGTGGACCCCTTGCAGCGCTGGTGGATGCTTCGGCCCCACGCCCCTGCTGGAGCAGGAGTAGCAAACAGGTTCTTCCTCCGTGCGTGCGGTCGCGGCTCATCTCTCAGTGTGAGCAGGATCTGAAAAAGAGAGAACCGACCGCTAAGTGACTGAGATGAGTGTGGGGTTTTACTTACAGCAACCTCTGGTTTAGTTAGCACTACTGAGGACTAAAGAAGTTGTGGCCAAATAAATGTTCACCTTGAACTTGAAGACTTTTCATTTTAACCATTTTTGTTGGAAACCTTTCTAACACACTCCTGTTATGCTGCTTTTTTGTGTACTTTTCTTAAGTTTCTTTCTCCCCTCCTCCTTCCCTTCCCCTTCCTCCCTTCCTTCCTTCCCTCCTTCTTCTTTTTTTCCTGGATAAGAACATTTTATCTCTTTTGCTTCTTAAATAAAAAATGCTGTATATGTTAAACTTTTCTAGAAACTTAAGGTCAGCATTATTAGCATTCGGTATTGAACCACATGGAAAAACTGCTTCATGTACGCTTCTGAGTTTTTCTAAATCTTTGTTGAATACTGGGTCGTCAGAATGCACTCTGCCTTGGACCGCTGTCTCCATCCCTGCAATATACACCTACATCCCACCACCCGGTTTAAGACAAGGATATTACTATTACCCTGCATCCCCTGTGAGGCCCTCCCACTGCCTTCCCATTTCCACTCTCCTGAATTTTGTGTTTATCCTTCCCTTGTTTGCTTTTTAAAAATAGGTTTATTTATTACATACACTCTGAACCCTAAATATTATGTTGTTTCGGTTTTACAATTTTGTGGTTTTCGATCTGACAGTGCTGCTATAACTATTATTATATGTGATCTCAGCACACAAGTGGAGAACTTCAGTTATATACTTAGGAGTGTAACTGCTGGGTCATGGACACTTGCATCTTCAACTCTCTAAAAATAATGCCATATTACATTCCAAAGTGGTCTGTACCAATTCCCGCCCCCACCCCCACCCCCAGGGCAGCTTCTTTACCTCCTCTACCTGTGGAGAAGGGGTATTACCTGAGTTTAAAATATTTGCTAGTCCAGTGGGTATACAGTGGTGTCCTACTGTGTTTTGTTTTTTAAGATTTACTTATTTATTTATTTATTTTTGAGAGAGAGAGAGAGAGAGAGAGAGCATGAGACGGGGGAGGGTCAGAGGGAGAAGCAGACTCCCTGCCGAGCAGGGAGCCCGATGGGGGACTCGATCCCAGGACTCCAGGATCATGACCTGAGCCGAAGGCAGTCGCTCAACCAACTGAGCCACCCAGACGCCCCCCTACTGTGGTTTTAATGAGCATTTTCCCAATTAGGAATGAGGTTGAGCCTCTTTTCAAGTATCTATGGTGCCTACATGTTTTTTCTTCTGTGAAATGCCTGGACGTGGCTTTTGCTTCTTTTCTTATTGAGTTTACTGCTTATTAATTAAAAAAAAAACAAAACAAAACAGCTTTATTGATATATAAACCACATACCATACAATTCACCCATTTAATGTGTATAATCCAGTGGCTTGTACTATAGTCAGAGTTGTGCGTCCATCACCACAATCAATTCTAGAATGTTTTCATTGAAAGAAGATGAAACCCTATACCTCTTAGCCATCACCCTCCCTCATCTTGTCCTCCGGCCCTAGGCAACCACTAATCTATTTTCTGTCTCTAGAGGTTTGACTATTCTAGACATTTCATGAGTGGAATCATCCAGTATGTGGTCTTTTGTGTCTGGCTTCTTTCACTTGGTGTAATGTTTTCAAGGGTCATCTGTGTTGTAGCATGGAACAGTACTCTCTGCCTTTTCGTGGCTGAATAATACTCCACTGTGTGTATTTATTCACTCATCAGTTGATGGCTACTGGGGTTGTTTCCGCCTCCTGGACATTAGTAATTGTGCTGCTATAAACATCCATGTACAAGGTTTTCTGGACATATGTTTTCATTTCTGTTGGGCATATACTGCTGGGTCATATGGTAACCCTATGTTTAAAGGTTTGAGAAACTGCCAAACCGTTTCCAAAGCAGTTGCACCATTTAAAAAAATATATACAACTTGCAAACTATTTTATTATTTTTTTAAGTTTAGTCACTCTCCCCATTGTCTTTTACAGTTTTATTTTTTCTCTAGAACACTCACTATTATCTAATGAACTGTGTTACTAATATGGTTTGTTGTCTATATCTCTAACTAAGGGTTTGGGACTATTTTATTCACTGCTCTGTGCTATGTACCTAGTGTAGATGCTCAGTAAATATTTGTTGAGTGAATCAATCTTTCACTTTAACTGGAACATTAGTCCACTCACAGTTTTGTGATTACAAATATTTTTATTTATTTCTATGGTCTTGAGCTGTGTTCTTCTTTAAAGATTTTTATTAGTGAGGCAGAGGGAGAGAATCTTCAAGCAACTCCCCGCTGAGCATGGAGCCCAACGTGGGGCTCGATCTCAGGACTCATGAGATCATTACCTGGGCTGAAACCAAAAGTCGGGCACTTAACTGCCTGAGCCACCCAGGTGCCCCTTAAGTTGTGCTATTTGTCCATACTCTTCTGTGTTTTCTTTTCCTCCTTAAAGTTTTAGAATTTCTATTCTTTTGGTAGTTTCTCTATTTTTGCATTTGTACATAGTGACTATGTAAAGCTGAAAATAATCATTATCTTTACCTTTTCACTCTATAAGATCAAGTTAGACAATTTAACTCTGATCATACCCTCTGTCTTTTTTCTTTTCACACCCTCTGTCTTAACATGATATTGGTGTTGGATACTTTCATCCCCCTCCGTTTTATCCTCACAAGAACATTATTACTTTATTGATTATTATGCTTTTATTTGCCCATGTTTTTACACATTCTTTCCTCATAAGTCACTTTTTGCATCTCAGACCTTTTTCTGGTATCACCTTCCTCTGTTTGAGATAAATTCTTTAGAATCTTTCCTTTGGTGAAGGTTTACTGATGCCAAGTCCATCTGGGTTTTACATGTTGGAAATGTCTTTATTTCATCCTCATCCTTGAAAGATATTTTTGCTTAAAATACATTTCTGGCGGGGTACTTATTTTTTTCTCATCAATGCCAACATCACACGATAGTTTGGCTTTCACTATTGCTGTTGAGGAGTACATTGTCGATCACTGGCATTCCTTTGGAAAGCCTTCCTTTGTCTTGAGGTGCTTAAATTTAACATCTTCTGTCTTTAGTATCCCAAAGTTTCAGTATGGTGTGTCTAGATGTGGATTTATTATGATTCACTACAGCCAGTAGTATCTTCCATTAGTTTTGTAATATTTTTAGTCATTATCCCTTTAAATATTGTCCGTCTCATTTTTTTTTTTTTCTCTCCAAAACTCCAATTATCTAAATATCTATCAGGCTTTCTCACTTGGTTTTTCATCATTTTTTCTTTCTGTCCTGCAGTTCACGTAATTTCTTTAAATATATCTTTGAGTTCATTAAATATCTTTTCAGCTGGGTCTACCTGCAGTTAAGCCCACTCATTGATTTGAAAACTGTAATTACTCTATCTTTGCAATTCTAAAGTATTACATAGTTCTTTTCCAAATCTGCTTAGTCATAATTTTAATCTTTTGATTTTACTCATACTTTTACTCCCTCCTTTAATTTCTTTAAACACATGAGAAAATTTACTTTTTATTGTATGTCTGGTAATATCAGTATCTTAGTCTTTGTGTGTCTAATATTGTTATCTGTTATTTTGCTGACTTTTGCTTATGGTGCCATGTTTCCTTATTTGTGTTGTGATTTTAAACTGTGATCTCGCCGTTCTTAGACCTTCACCTGTAAGAATTATTTGAGATTTGATGTGAAGGAAGATCCTTCCAGAAAAAATATGCATTTGATTCTACTAGATGCCTGGGGCCACCCTATAAGCTTAGGATCACCTGAGATTAAATTCTCAGTATGAAGCTTTTCAGGGTATCTAGGGAATTTGAATTCATGCCCAAGCTTACACAAGGGCTAGTTTGTGGTTATAAATCATCAGGGGAGAGTCCTCTACTCCATCTCACTCAGCACCAAGGCTCGGATAGGCAATTTTCTTTCAGTGCCTGAGGGGGTAGAGGTGAAGGGGGGAGGTTTATTTCTGGTTGACCTTTACATGGAGAATACAGCCCTTTGGGGTCCTATCTTTATGTGAAGGGTCTCCAATTAGACGCTCCATCTGTTGTCCCTGACACCTGCCATAATTCTGGTCCAGAGCTGCTTGGATCTCCACTTCTGCCTACTGACGCAGTTCTGGGATTATCAGGGCAGGAATAACACACAGGACAACCATGTTACTGCATTTTCCCCCTCACTGCCTCTGTGGCCATAATCACAGCCTGGCTCTCGTTTGGTAGGATTTTGAAAAACCGGTCATTGAAGTTGTCCATCTTCTTTTTTGCTTTGATGTCCTGACCTGGAAATTCTTTTTTTTTTTTTTTGAAATGCCTATGGTTCATACTATCTATATCCTAACTTGGCACTTATCAAATAAATGAAGTTACATCTTCTTAGGTTAGTTTTAAAGTCAACAAGCAACATAAACATAAAATATTATCAGAATTACCCTTGAAAATCTTGAAGCACCTGTAAAAGACATTGTACTGGTTTGGCAACTATTAGAGTCCAACAAACCCAATCTGTCCTCCAGCCTACTGTTCTTCTATTAGCCTCATATTAAGTAACTGGCTTGTGCTACTGTAACACAGCAAATAAAAATATTTTAAGCACTGTGATCAACATCTGCCCAGGTGAAGTGATGAGAAGCAGCTACGCAGGCAGAACTGCCGAGGGAACAGATCACGCTCATGCTCACTCTTATCAGTAGGTTCCCTGAGGGGATGGTTGACACACTTTCCCAAACCACCCAAATCATTGTTTCTTACTCCTTTTTTGAGGGCAGGGGGTCGGAGTGGAGGGCTTTGTCTTGCATGTGTTGTTCATGTCCCGTGGATACACTCTTTTAAGTGCAGAGACCGCATCTTACAAATCTTCACACGACCTGAGCTCCTAGCATTTTGCCATGTCCATGTTTACACGGGGGCTGCTTGGTAAATACTGGATCAGCTGATACGGGAAATGATCA